CATTTTTTCCCGAATTTGAACAACTTCTTACAAGGAAAAAAATTCAACTCCGATGCGGCAGTCCAAACCGCCTTCTTTTTGAGTTTATTGATTCTCGCTCCTATGTTTTTTTTAGTAAAGGGATCAATGAACTACCTATGAGATGGTAAAAGTGCATAGATAACAACGACAATTTAGACACATTAGATTTAGACCTTATATTCCTCCCGTACAAAATGCCAATTTCATATGTAAGGACTATTATATATTATACACTATTATATATTATTAAAAATCTTAATTTCATAAACCTATTCCATATCACCTATGCCGGTAGTTGTTGGGAGCACTAAGCTCAAAGTTGTTGACGAGAATGTTTACCTGGTTCAAATAGTCCCACTAGGTAAGTCCAATTTCGACCGAGAGGTAAATCAACGGCTTTAACTCGGCTGGTCAGCGTTATTTTTTTATTATTTATTTTTTATTTTATTTTTATTTTTTAATAATACCAACTAAATACATAAAAGGAACTTATAATATCAAGATTTAAAAAAATACAATATACATATGCATTTAAATTAAAGGTATGCACAGCATTTTTTAATGATAAAAGACGTTGTTTTACATAATACAAATTTTTTTAAACTTTTTAGTACAGACAAAAATATGAAAGAATTAGAAACCAAAAATAAAAACACTAAAAACTAAAAATGACTCTTGCAACAATCAAAAATCGATTTTTAAAAGTAGCAGGTTTTTCACAAAGATATCTAAATTACAATTTTGAAATAAAAAGTTAATTTTTTTTACCAGTGTACAAATAGGAGAAGAACTACCATATTTCCTTCTTATTAAGAACATTGAGAATGGTTTATAATTATGCAGACGAGCCGTAACTCTAGGAACTAATATATTAATTTGTGATAGCAGAGACGGACAATCCACTTCATGGTTTAATAATTTATATAAAAACATCATAGATAGCTGTTCCTTACGTTACCTTAATAAAAGCATATTAAATTGGTTTAACCTATCAGAATAACTATTAACGCTGCGGTAACTACCATTGATAAAAGAGATTCTGTTCACAAAATTTTTTTGAATATTTTCGATACGCTGAATATTATTCTGATAAAATGGGTACCAAACAGAACTACTACGGCGTAGCCGTGTGGATTATTGTAGTTCTGTTTGGTAAGGATAAGGGATACTAAGGAAAAGCAAAGCAAATTAAAACAAAGCATATTACAGCGTTCGGGAAATTACGGCACATCTTCTCGTCAGGTATACCTATAAACCTGAAAACGACATTGTACAGCCAGTGCGTGTTGCCAGTGATGGATCTGAGGCGTGGTACTTCACTGCTGGCCATATGAAGACGCTCAACCAGGTCACCGAGCTATGGAGAGGGCTATGCTCGGGGTTTCTTTCCGTGATAAACTTAGAAATAAAGATAGCCGCAGTAGAACTAGAGTGACCGACTTAGCCCAATGGATGAGAAAGCTGAAGTGGCAATAGATCGGCCAGATAGCTCGAAGAACCGACAACCGATGGGAAATAAGGTTCTTGACTGGCAGTCTCATACCGGTAGGCGAAGTGTAGGGCCACCCCCCACTAGTTAGAGTGACGACCTGGTAAGACCATGCTGGAAGTAGATGGATGCAGGTGGCTCAGGACCGTGCTTTGTGGCCTATGTACAGCAATGGACTTGTGAGGGGCTCTAATAATGATGATGATGATGATGATGAGTTCGTATAAATATCTAGTAGGATACAAGCACATATTTTATTGAATTATATGAAAGCATATTTTACTCGTAGCAATATTCCTCACACACATAATTTCTAGAAGTTTTTTCTTCTTTTTTTTATAGTATAAGGGTGACCAACGAGCACACAGTCCACTTGATGGTAAGTGGTTGCTGTGGCCCATAGTCATCTACATTTATCCTCGATGAGGAATCAAAATGCAGATGCGTTGTCACCCATGAGGACTAAGATGGAATGCCTCGTTTCCAGTAAAAACGGTCTCTACACTCACCATACGAAACACAGCAGCATTAAGCTGCTATTTTACGCTGATATTCTGTGAGAGCGTGGTCCTTCCCCAGTCGAGCCGACCCATTCGTGTTACAACTATACCAGAAATATAGCTGCAGCATGGCTCTACCACGTATAAAAAGTATTAACATGTATTTAGAAAATCTGTATAAATATGTATATTTTATTTCTATAGATTCTAATAACACGATAACGCCCTTGTGATTCGCGTCTGATGCACGCTTCCGAGCTTCCGACAACTAATTACTTTGGCTTTATTCGCTCGACATGCTTTCAGCTAGGACGTGCTATGAACATTAATGAACACATACTAGCAGTTATTCAAACGATTTAGTCCTTCATGTCATCGCCTGAGAGCTCTTATTGCTTTAACTCTTTAGAGATGTTGGTTACAAATAAATAATTATACTATTATATTTAGATGATTATGTTGGTTTTTTTTTATTTTAAAGAGTATCGACATTTTTTATGTTGAAAGAATACATTTTCACCAGATTCGGTCAAAAGCTCTACAAATTTTTATACAATTAAAAATAATGTAACAGTAGCAATAAAAAGAGAAATAGAGTCAAATGCTTTTGCAGAATCAATTTCTTTTCATAAATATTAATTATAAAGGTTCTCTTCGCATTTTTCTATGATAATGTAAAGCTAAAATATACTCTATTATTCAAAATATTGTATGAAATGCTATTTGTTATTAAACAAAACTAATTTGAAGGTTTATTATTATCGCGTTTAGTTTAACTTATTTTTTTCTTATTCTTTGAGCAATACAAAATAATAATTTAGATTTTTGTTTGGAAGTGGAAATTATTACTATTCTTTAACGTTTTTATTGCGTTGACGCGTTCACTCTTTCTTAATTTAAACATGGCGACACCGAATATCCATAATTTGGAGTTTTAGCTTCTTCACGTTATATAGGCCTAATGGTATACCTTGATGCCAAATCTTAATTTTCTAAGTTACCTAGAATAGTTCTAGGTTTCACTAAAAAGTGAGTGATCAATGAGTCAGCTCAAAATAGTTTGTGTAAAAATGCATACGGCCGGTGCATTGATCTTTTTTTTCTGAATTTGGCTGAAACACTGACATGTGCCTAGATAACATAATACGTGATCTCTTTATTCAGTATGTAATGTGTATTAAGTATTACTGTAATTCTTCACCATTGTACTGGAAGACCTCTTCAAGCTAGTGGACTGGAAAAACACTGTATCAACATAAACATTTGCCGACACTATTATGGCACAATTACTGGAGGACCTTAACACTATGCTCATTGACTCATAAAGGATAGGTCTTAAAATTAACATGGGCAAAACATAGGTCATGTGTAACGTCCATGTCACACTTATGCCGGTGTTTGTTGGGAGCACTACGCTCGAAGTTGTTGACGACTATGTTTAACTAGGACAAATTGTCCAACTAGGCAATTCCGACTTCGACCGAGAGGTCAATCGATGGATTCAACTCGGATAGACAGCATTTGGGAGATTACGACACATCTAGTCACGTATATCTTAAAACTTGGAAGCAAAAGTGCACAAGGGATTATTATATTATATTCTCTTACCTGAAGTGTAGTCTAAGCTGAAGTGGCAATGGGCCGGTCATATAGCTCGAGTACGCGAAGTTGATCAGTACATCGAGCTATATGGCCGGTCCATTACCACTTCGAGTTTTCGACACATCGGTTGTCGAACTGATGGGGATACACGGTTTTCATGTGACAGCTTTGTACCGGTAAGCGAAGTGTAGAGCGGCCCTTTAATAGATGGAGAGACGACCTGGGAAGGTCCTACGTGTGGTGCAGAAAATCGATGTATGCAGGTGGTTCAGGAACGTGTTTTGTGGTCCTTTGGAGAGACCAGAGAAGTGGTCTGTAACTATGATGATGATGTATAATTAATTACACAACGGTGTCATTTTATAAATGTGTAATTGCAATGGTTCTTTTTTTTTTTCAAAAAAATATACAATTGCTATCCATCGATTAAATGTAACATTACGTAGTTAGATATTACGTAATATATTATTTTGTGTATGTAATTTAAACAAATATTATTTTTGTTTATATATTTGTATCTATATATTGCTACACCTACGTCAAATTCTCACCACAACATGGACTGGCAGAGAATGCCTCATGGCATTAAGTCGACTCTCGAGAAAAAAAAGATAAACGTGTCTACAATAGGACCGACGAATTTTTGATAAAATTCCGAATATAGATAAAATATGGATTGAAAGAATTTTATAAAAATTTCATCAATTACTTTTGTATTTATTTATTTAGAGAAAATATTTATTGATTTTATTTATCTTCTTCTTTCTTAACGGGATTTGCCCTTTGATTGATATTATCATTGGCATAAAATACAGTTTTCTTATTAGTTGTGGAACCATTTAACTAAGTTTGTTTAACTGTTTATATCACGTATGTACATAACACACATATTAATTATAATTTAATTTTGGAAGTATGTACCATATTATATCGATAGAAAACAAAGATAATATATTTACTATGTTCAGTAGTTATATAAAAGCTGACTACGGATTTGAGTTTGAAATTCTCTCCCTTATTCCGTGAACATCAAAGGATATTACAGACTTAAAGTTGACAGCACGCCTGTAGCCTTTTACTTGAATTTATTTACGGGTAGGGTAACCATGTAGTGGCGGTGTAAGATTTCCCACTATCCAATATTATCCCTAAAGTGTCGTAAGAGGTGATCGAGGAACATAAATAACATCTGAATAAAAATAAAAACTGCGACTGGCACAATCCGCTTGCCAAGCGTGGCAATTATCCGACGAGGCAATCTATAAGGAAGGCCTATGAAAGGCTTTAAATGTAATTATTAGTATTTGCAGGTGTCATCAATTATTTTTTTTATTTCGATTTACTTTGTAAGTTCCATATTTTATTAACGCCTGATTTTTGTTATACAGCGTACAAGAGACGGATGGCTCTTATTTTGAGAGCTTCACAGCACTATCTTGGAGACAAGAGAACAGGAGACTTGCTGCACTTCGATTGGCTGAGGCCAGAGCCGAACGTCCACCCCCAGCACCACATGAACTTGGCCTGCCAAGCGTTTCCGCGCAACTGTCACATAAAGAACACGAACATTTATACACTGAGGTAAAATTTTACAGTCTGCTGATTCTTGATTTGTTTTTAGTGGTTCAGATTATATGTGTCGAAGTAGACAACCGCGTGACCCAGTTGGTCAGAATACGTGTACTTTTCTATCGAATTCATAAAGGAGCCCGTACTCAATTCGTCATAACTCTTTACTGGGTGAACCGATTTCGATGATTCTTCATTTATCTGAAAGCTGGTGCTTCACATGTGGTCCCATATAAATTTGATCAAGGTTTGACCAATAGTTTTTGAGTTATTCTTAATAATTTATATTGAAGCACAAAATTTTTAATTTTTAATTATTAGCGCTTCAGAGTTGCATCGGCCACGGCTAGGTTGGGATGAGTAATTGTTATTGTTTGTGTAGACCTGTTATGGCATCATATATATGTGTATGCACGGTACTTAGCATCCGATTTTTTCGTAGCTGTCACGTGGACTTCAATGTATGGGTGAATGAATATGTAAAACAAAGTAAATCATAAGCTCTATGCTTATTCTGTACTTAAAATTTAGAAAACAACTTTTTGATTTATAAATAAAGTGAACAAAATAAACTATAAACATAACTTATTGCATACTTAAACGATAGTAAAATAGTAATGAAATATAATTACATAATAATTGTAGTTATTATATTTTAAAGACATGTACAACGTAAACGTCTTTTAACTGAATCCAGTAGTCATGCATATTGTAACTATACGTTCACCTTACACAATACATCAGCAGTTTTTAAATCCAACTAATGGACTTAGGCATTTCCAAGAATACGTTAACTGGCATTCATTACTCGGTATTTTACACATAATGATCACCTTGGGCAGCCGAATTGACAAGCGTACAGCAGATTACCTTCATGTTCATGTTGCTTCAAGTCCACTAAACGTCCACGAAAAGCGAGCCATGCATTTCAGTAGTTTATTTGCTATCACTCGGTCGTCGGAAACCCGTTTGTCAATTAGTTTTTTTATGTTTACGTTTATTTATTTTTTATTATCTGACCAATGTTACACACCGTTTCACCGATGAGGAATAAAAGTTGGTTCTTTGAAATATGTATCTGTATTTACCATAAAATTTAATTAAATAAAATTCAATAAATTTAAAAAAAACACGGTTATTTTTAAGCTTCTGTCCATATAAAAAATTGGAACTTATCTATCTTTAGCCTCTTTTAGTAAAGTTAACTATGAATTTAGTTACTGTACATAATAGTGGTCTAGATAAGCGTAATTGAATCCAAACACGCAAGGTTCCTATTATTTTTCTTATCGTTAACTTTTATGTCAAATCAGTAATAATATGTGTTAAAATTTAACCTTTGAAATTTATTTCAGTTTAGCAAAGTTTTGTTTTGGTGACGTAAATGTTAGAGCAAACCATTTCAAAACTATTGAAAACTTATAATTACAGCAGTTGGCTACAGAACAGAACGTAACTTAAATATAATACATGCATGTTATATACATGCATACTACCACTTGTAGTATGCATGTATATAACATGGTTCAGGTTTCAGTATAATTTTTTTTTGTGTTAAGGGTATAAAAAAAACTAATTAGAATTAAACTGTAATGTATGTCACTAGCTTTTACGTTTATTTCGTACACTTTTTGAATATCAACAGGTACTATATTGCATTGAGAATGCAGTTGGAGCTCCTGCACCAGACGGGCAGTTCGCTGCGTACAAAGAAGAAGTGATTGAATACGCTCGCCGTGCATTCAGAGTCCCATCGGAAGTGCACGCTCGTGCTTTGCGAGCTGCAGGCAGTGAGCGCCCGCCCACTGTAGTCCTCGGCTGCGCCGTCATCGAGGCCGATGGACTGGAGGCCAAAGATGCTAACGGTATAATTCTTAAAATATTATGGAAGTAGGTGACAATTTTGCAACGTAGTATTATTATATATTATCTTTCTAATTGCTACTAAGATTTTTTGGATTTCTTTTGGAGTGAAATAGATAAAAGAAGTAGTTACAATTTTCAGAAGTCGAAATTTTGTTTGTTTGCCTTGAAATCTTTGATTGTTTTCAAGGCCTAGTAAGTCTCGCATATATCGAGAAAAGATCGTGACATTGATTCTAAACGAATTTATTACGATGCGGTATTGCAAAAAGAACGCCTGATTAGGTTTTTCAAAGCATATTACAATTATTGGGAAGCAAATGCGGAATCGCAGTCTACTTATATTTATGGAATCAATATCCATGTTTATAATTTAAAACCAAAGTAATAAGAAGGGATTTTTAAAGAAAGTTTGATTGTTTAAAAAACAATTACTTGTAATTTTATTTAAAAAAAAATTACGTATAATTCCTTCACAAATATTATCTCAAATGAAGCTTATTTAGCTTATTACTTGGAAGTATCTTAGTCAATTTTACAAACTCTTCATCAAAAGACATACGAAATTCCACCACAACAGGATACTTGCTGTTTTTATTTATAACCCTTGTAGATATTCGTAGCATTACCTTAAAAAAATATTATTATTATTATAAAAAATTAATAATTAAAATTGTCACTCAATCCTACAATCCTAATCCCCGTGGTATAATGCCGCGTGATATAACGCTGGCCGTGTGTCCTCGCTGAATAGCTGCAGTATAACTGGCACCGTACGGCAGGGAGTAGGACTGCATGGCATTATCATTAGTTAAACAATTAGTAATGATTTATATTCAATAAAAAAATATTGCAAGTATTATAACTCCGTTGTAAAAATAGGATCCTAACTATATTGGATTAAATTATTGAATCGATAAAAAAATAGTGTAATGTGGTGATGATTTAGACGTAGTATTTTTATTAGGATTTAGCGATCCGTATTGCATGCTCGGAATCCAACCAGCATCGCTGCCTGCCTCTCCTCGGGCCTCTGAAGACGAAGGTCGCAAGCATGGTTTTCGGCTCAGTTTCAAACGTCGTGAAGGACGTCAGCAGCGCGACAGCCTTGGGAGACTGCCCGCACGTTACATTCGCGCCACTAGTGTTAGACCACACACTTTATCACCCAAATGGAATGAAACATTTAAATTGTAAGAGAAATGGCACATTTCATATTTTATTATGCATTTTTTTTTTTCATCAACCACTTACTTTGAATGTATTTTTTCTTAAATAATTATTAGTTATGAAATGTATATGCATTTTAAATTTATTATTTAATATACTCTAGTAACGAGTAGAAAAGGTAATTTACATATTTTTATTCAAAATTAATTAACTTATTAGCTAATCAAATATGTTTTCCGCTAATATTTGAATAAGATTGCTGATATGCGTAATAAAAATTATACTCGTACTCGTAATAGAGTTAAACTTAATTAGTGTGTAAACGTATACGTAAAATTGTGAAAATATTTTTTATACTCCTTAAATATCTTTGTGGCAGTGACATAGATGATATATCGTCGGATGTGCTACACCTGGATATTTGGGATCATGATGACGAGAGTTCGGTGCTAGACGCAGTATCGCGCCTTAATGAAGTCCGTGGCGTTCGGGGTTTAGGACGATTCTTTAAGCAAGTCTGCCAAAGTGCACGACAGGGCAGTCAGGATGATTTTCTAGGTAAGTATTTCCTGAAAAATTAAAAAAGAATGCAAAAAATATTCACTTTGACGTTTTTTAATCTAAAATAAGAAAATATAAGCATTAGACAATATACTGTTTGGTTTTGACCTACTATGTTATTACTAAGTCTTTACATTTTGTACCTATAAATAAAGAACAAATTTACATTTAATTATATTAGAAAAAATACTCACATGATCGGTTCTGTTTTTTAATATAAGATTATTCCGTTCAGGATGCGTAAATATTCCATTACGTGAAATCCCATCAACCGGTGTGGAAGCTTGGTACAAGCTAGATGCTCGATCACAGCGCTCATCAGTACAAGGTCGTATTCGGCTTCGTTTGTGGCTTTCTGCTCGCGAAGCCGGGCGGCATGATGATGACAATTGGCAACAGGTAATTTGGCTTAGATTTTTTATCGTCTAAATAAGTATAAAAAAATTCACGTAAAACACAAAACCTCGCCTTATAACTGTTATCTATTTTACGTACACGAAAAGACAAGATTGTCAAAGTAATCGTGTGCATTATCAAAAACCATGATCAAATAGCAAACTAAAAATATATTCCGTATTTAATAAATAATATTTATTTTTCTTTAAACCGATAATAATTATTATAAAATATTTATTCAAGATATCCCTATGAAATTTTAAAGGATGTCTAAAAAAAAAGTTCAAGCCGAATTAAATTAAACGAAACATGTCCACTCGTAAAAATATTTAGAGATGTTAAACAAAGAGAGCCTCTCTTACCAAATATCTCTCACCAAAAATCTCATAGTATTAGTACATATTATGAAAAAATGGCCTCAAAAAGCTATATATTTATATATACATCAATGGAAGATGCAACCTGCAACCTAGCTTGAATCAACATTATACGATTTACGAGATGTCAGCAACTCCTAGGAAACACCAATAATGATAAATTATGCTCTTCGAAAATGTAGCTCAATTCATATATAGGTATTTTGGCAATTTTTATCATTTGGAAAAAAAGTCAAACAGATAATAAAATTCAGTAATTATACGTGTATCTTAAGAAATTTAGAAAACAAAGCTGATTCCTGAAAGTAATATTCCAATAAAATGTGTTTGATTGAGTAAAAGCATTCTTCTGAAAACCTTATTTTCATATTTTTACGGAAAAAATTCCTCGGTTTAAATTTTTGGCCTTTAACTGAATTTAAGTATTATATATAATTAAGTTTTTCCATATGCACGTACAAATTGCTGTAAATATTCTATCTGTGTTTTTAGTAGTTTTAAACAATCAACTATTTTGATCATTTCGAAATCATAAAGGTACGTCAGCATGAACGTCTCTTTGGCGTACTCCTGGCGCATGAAGTCGAAACAAACATTCTTAACAATGCCCAAGATAGAAAGGAGGGTGAAAGCTGCGCCAGTGGCTCCTGGGAGGGTGACCTTTGTGGTGCAGCTCAGACGTTGCTACACCAACATGCTGTGCAAGGAGACCTCAGTACTCTTCAAGCTGCTATTGCTCGATTTGCTGCTGCATGCCGCCTAAATAGCGATGCGCCTTTGGACCCTAAGTAAACATTTTAAATGGTTTAGAATTTAATTTTACTTTAGTAAACCATAAATTAAAAGCATATATCAAAAATAAAACCATTATATTAAAATATAACATTTATTATATTTAAGAGCACATACAGCTATAACTTGATTCTCAGCACGATGCATCGCATATGCAGAACGAGTGTTTATATTTATCATTAAGAAATAAATAAATAAATTCGTAGGTATATGTACAAGTTGCTAACCGAGTTGGAAAGAACATGGATTGCACATGAAACATTGACTGGAGGTGGAAGTGGTGATTCAGGAGCAGGAGCGTCTCGCGATGAAGAGCGTTGGCTAGCTGATTGTTTTGGGGAGTTTGTTGAGCGAGCTCTGCATCAACTACGACTTCACAGGGATTTGTATCCAGTGCTCCATAATTTAAGCTTGAACCAGTACGTACTGTAAAAATGTTTAAGACTATTTTTTTTAATTTAATAATTGGGAAGTATGTTTTGAATTAAAAGTCAAATATTATTGTTAATATATTATAAGTATGCGACCTTTTTAATAAATAATTTAACCAAAATATTTAATTACATAAAATATTTAATTAGGTAATGACTTAAGAATTACTAAATTGAAACATGGCGAAGAATTACATTATAACTTTCCATCCACTTCATTATTATATATTTAAATTTTTAATTCAATATACGGTGTTGGGTATAAGTCATTTCATCAAGGAGCTTTAAGATCGGACAGACAACAGAGAGAGTGAGAGTGAGAGACCTCAGGGCTCAGTTTTATCCTCGGGGTACGGAATCCTAAAACTGTTAATATGATGAACAAAATACGTTCAGGAGCTTTGGATATAATAGTAGCAATGTATAAAAAATAGAGTAAACGGACAAAAAGTTGGAGCGCAACAAAGGCTTAGATTGAGTGTAAGTCTTTAATGGTCCAATAAATTATAAAATGTAGCAATAGAAATTGCTATTTATAGGTAAACTTAAAGATATTATCATTATAACTATATAAACGAAATAGTTTCAATGCTTACATTGTGAAAACCCAGATATATTCAAAAGAGTGGAACTACCTTTAAAAATACGATATAATATTCTTCGCAGGTTGGAATTTTTGTTGCGATGTCTAAATCAATTAGCGCAAATGAAAGCTTTCTGGCGATGCTGTCCATTTAGTAAGGAAATAAGGTTAGTCTATAGATTGTTAATATTGGGTTGGTTTATATTACTTTAGCTTTGAAAATAAATGCTTGAGTATGTCAGTATGAAAGATAACTTTTAATGCATTTCCATTTTTTCATGTTATTTAAAAGTCAATTATTACTATAATTAATTATAAAATCATAATCTAACATTTTATTGTAGAAGTGAAGTAGTTGGCGCACTACGCAAAGGCACTGCGGAGTGGTACGAAGCACTTTGTGCTCAAGATACTAAGTCGGAGCGCGGTGAGGATTTAGTGAACCTTATTACACTGGTTCAGATAGATCTGCAACAAGGACTTACTTACTATCATCCGCTTTTCGAAACGTTAGTATGATTCATAATTATGATGAATAGTTGCGTAAATAATATTTATACAGGGTTATTTTGAAATAACCGGCCAAATTTGCAGAAAAGGTTCAGGATAAGTAATATAGACAAATGGTGAAGAAAAATTAATAAAAAAAAATCTCAATAATTCCGTCTTTTTATCTTTTAAATTCAAAATGCGTGGTAATATATGGTAGAGACATACTGCAGCTATATTAGTAGTATAGTTGTAACACGAATGGGTCAGCTCGACCGGGGAAGGACCACGTTCTCACAGAATACTAGCGTAAAATAGCAGCTTTGCTGTATTTCGTATGGTAATCGTAGAGAACTGGAGAACCCTATTTACTGGAAAAGAGGCATTCCATCTTAGTCCTCACGGGTGACAACGCATCTGCATTTTGGTTTGTAATAGAGGACAGATGTAGGTGTCTATGGGCCACAGCAATCGCTTACCATCAGGTGGACTGTGTGCTCGTTTGTCACCCTATCCAATAAAAAAATACATTATTTTTGCTGATCTTACAGCGCATAATTTCAAATAAAAATAGAAGCCTTATTTACTCGTATTTTCCAAAACTGCAATAACGGTATAAAATAATTATTTATATATTTGAACTTAGGTTTAAATTTTGGCTACTCTTTGAAAATAACCCTGTTTTATATCCGTTATGAGAATATATTTATATTCATCGTCATTAAATTTTACAGATTGTTAAATAGTTGTGTGATCATATCACATATTATCACAACACACGCACAACGTCTAAGATGCAGTTGTGTATCGCCAGCAACGCAAAATCAGGAATTTGTATTTAGAAAAACCCATTAAATTAGGGGCTTTTTAGATGCTAATTAGGTGCCACGTTTAAAAATTAGGTGCTCTAAAATTTTCACCGCATCGAACTGTTGAAATTTGCGTTCCTAGCAAAACGTCTCGCTAGCAACGCAATGAAGTTATTAGATATACGATAAATATTAATAGCAAGGAATTAAGTGCTAATTAGGTGCGCCCCTAGTCAAAATAAAGTCGTTATTCAGAATATAGCAGATGCAAAATTCAGTTTTTCTGAAAATCAAAATAGAATCAAAATTGCTTTTAGAAAAAACCCAAATTAGGGACTAATTTTTAAACTTGGCATCTAATTTACACCTAGTAAATTAGATACGTTTTGCTAGGAATGCAAATTTCAATCGTTCGTTGCGGTGAAAATTTTAGAGCACCTAATATTTAAACCTTTAAATTAAAAATTAGCACCTAAAAAGCCCCTAATTTTGGATTTTTCCAAATGCAAATTCCCGAATTTGCGTTGCGGGCGAGACACAAATCTAAGACTCTGTTATTATTATTATCGGTCTAAACATTATACGCCTTATTCCCATACGGTGAGAACGAAATGAAATATATTATTTATTGGATATTTTCGAAATGTTATATATTATTAGGTTTATGCAGTTACTTATTTCTAATATATAGAAATAAGTGTGACAAATAAGCACTCTGTCCACTTGATGGTATATGTATGCATGTAGGCGCCTACTCCTTAATTAAAAATCTAAATGCAGATGTGTTGTCAGTCCTTAGGACTAAGATGGAACGTCTCGTTGCCAGCCGCCGACCTCGGATCTCATTAATCACAACATAGATATAGCAACATTTATTACAGTTATACGCTGATATTTTATGCGAGTTTGATTATTTCCCGTTTGAGACCACCGTTTCGAATCACAATTTAGTTATACCACTTAAAAATGTAATCGGGTGGTAAGGCAACATTGAAAACTATTAAGGAGGTAACAGAAAATAAGCCACATATTTGTTAACAATAATATTCCTATGTTTATAGATTTAAAATGCTATCCTTATTGATTGTGAAACATAATTATGTGACTTCAGTAGTACATACGAGTATTTATCGTAAATTAAATAATTTCTTACAGTTTAGCTTTGTAACAAAGCAAATGTTACTTTGAAATTTTTTAATGAATTAATATTTGAAAACAAGCTAACAGTGTATAAATTTGTTGCAGAACAAATAACGTACCATATTTTAACGTCGTGTTTACACAAATCGACAAAATGGTAAGTTCAATAAGTTCACCATGGATTTTGCTTCACTTGAAATCAGAGCGCTCTGTCTTTCTTTCTTTGTATATATATACACACGCACGCACACACACACACACACACACACACACACACACACACACACACACACACACACACACACATATATATATATATATATATATATATATATATATATATATATATATATATATATATATGCATATACATATACATTAAACTATTTAATATTATTTGAATTTATTTTAAAGGCGATCTGAAGCTGTATACGCTTACGCGTCGGTAGCTTCACATTATTGTGATATTATTTCCACATTTAATTAAAATACATAATTAATGACTTTCATTGCTTCATATTCAAAACTAGCTGCTGTGCCCATTATATCATATTCCCTTTCATATTCATAGCTGTGGCTGTGAAAATTCAAATTCTATTCTGTATTAAGTATAATATAATCTTGAATAACTCCCTTACGTACTGCAGCAGCGTGGCGTAAAAATTGGTCCATAGTCTTTCAAAAATGAGAGGAGGCCTGCGATTAGCAGTAGGATGTATATAGACTGTAACTATAGTTTCATATAAATAAATTATAAATTAAGGTTTATAATTTTTACAAAATTCCGCTCAAAAACATAACAGCTCGGGGCAAACTGAGCAACAATACCAAGGCGACCCCTGCCACGCTATACGTGAATTTCTGCAACATCCAGGGACTTCACTCGAACCTAAACGCCGTCCACTACCATCTCGAGACGGCGAAGCCGGCCTTGCTCTTTCTGACCGAGACGCAGGTGTCCTCTCCTGCTGATACTTCGTACCTCTCCTACTCCTACAAGTCGGAGCACTCCTTTGTGCATCGGGCTGGAGTTTGCGTATACGTCAGAGAGGACATCTGTTCTCGACGCCTCGGCAGTCTTGAAGGTTAGGATCTGTCCATCCTTTGGCTACTCGTAGACAGCGACGACCATCCGCGCGTCTACGGGTGCCTCTATAGGTCCCATAGCGGAAATGCCGAAACAGACCGACTCATCGACCACATCCAAATGGCTACAGATTCCTTGCTAAAACAGGTCCCATCCTTGGCGATTTAAACGTCCACCACGCCGAATGGCCCGGTTCATGTTTAACCGATCATGCGGGTAGATCTGTTTATGACTTTGCCTTGGCATATGATCTGACATAACTGGTTACTTCGCCTACGCGTATTCCAGATGTGGAGCATCATACACCTTCCCTGTTGGACCTTCTACTGACCTCTCATCCGGACGGATATCAGGTTTCTGTCGGTGCCCGCGATCTCGGCTCTTCGGACCATTGTCGGATCCGGAGTGTAGTGCCACTCACGCTCCCCTCGCGTTTGCGTTCTGCAGGTTGCCGCCGTGTTTGGCATTACAGGTCGGCGGATTGGGACGGAATGCGGTATTTCTTTGCATCTTACCCATGGGGGCGGGTTTGCTTCTCGCCGGATGATCCCAGCGCTGTTGCTGACTCTGTCACTGATGTGGTGCTACAAGCAATAGAACTATTTATTCCATTGTCTGTGGTACCCATCGGAGGCAGATCTCAGCCTTGGTTTGGTCGCTCACTTAAGCCTGCTTTACGTAGTAAGCAGGAGTGTTATCAAGCCTGGGCTGCGGCTTCGTCGACTCGGGATGTAAACACCAGCATGCTTAAAAAGCCTCCAGGTTCTTCAAAAGGGTTATTGCCAAGGCAAAGTCAGAGCACATAGGCAGAATTGGCGAGAAACTAGTTCGACTTCCTTCGGGAACCCGTGCATTCTGGTCTCTCGCCAAGGCTGTCCAAGGGAATTTCTGTCAGCCATCACTACCATCTCTGCACAGGGAGGACGACTCACTGGCCCACGGCGCAAAAGAGAAAGCCTTTTTGGCTCCCTTTTTGCGTCCAACTCGACTCTTGATGACGGGGAGAATACACCGCCGACCATCCCACGGTATGAGTGCTCCATGCCGGATGTGAGGTTCTCACAGCACTCGGTTTGCAAAGCACTCCTCTCCCTAGACATCAAGAAGTCGAGTGAGCCTGACGGAATCCCCCCAATTGTGCTGAGGACGTGTGCTTCGGAGTTGGCACCGGTTCTAACGCGTCTTTTCGGGTACTCCTACTCCCTGGGCATAGTCCAGAATTCATGGAAGACAGCTTTTGTCAGAAATTGGTCCAGTAGTTTTTGCGTGAATCGGTAATACACAGAGAGACAGACAGACAAAAATTCTAAAAACCACTAATTTAGCTTCACACACTTTATTTAGTAATATGGACTTGTTTTTTCAAAAATATGTTACAATTACAGACATGGCTTTTCTATAGATTTATTATATGTATAGATTGTTTTAATCTATTTTAATTAACTAAACTCTTCATTTTAACCCAAACTTATCTCAGTATATCACTGAATACCATATTAAAAAAAAGATTCAGCTATGTGGAGATCAGTGTATGCAATCTCACAGACAAAAAACTGTTTACGATTTTAATATACGTATCGTTAGGGAGTTCTTTATAACGCGTTCAGGGACAATATCTTTTAATTATATTACGGCATATTTTTAATAGTTTAAAAATCGAACTTCTGTTATTTATTTAAATAATAATAATAATATATGTAACTTGTGCTAAATATAGTAAACATGCCTCAATAACAGGTATCCGAAGATGTAAGACAATGTGTAGAACATTGGATAGCAGAGGGATGGTGCGGCGTAGCTGAAGAAGAGATTTATGATGAACACGGAAATGGGAGTGAGGGATTTTATTTAATACTTTTAATTATTCTATTTGAATGGGTAGCATGATGGGCTAATATATATATTAATTTCACAGTGTGTGTTGTATCAGCGAAGACCTTACCGTTTGAGGTACTGGCTGCAGTGCGCGAGTTATGCGCCGCTGCTGCCCCTGCACCTTCCCCTCACCCCGCTACGGACCCCCCACCGCAGCTGCTGGATGCTTACTTGTAAACCTTTTTTAACATTGATAATGATTTGTGATAATTATCATATCTTCATACGTACGTTACAAAAACGGATTATATATTGTTTTCAGACGCTCCAAGCACAAGCATAAACTATATGCAAAAGTTATAGCATATAGTTAGGTTTATATATATATATATACACATATATATATATATATATACATATATAAATATTATATTTCTTATTTTATTTTATGAAAGGGTAATGAAATATTTCTGCCCTGCAGTCGTACATATTGTAACGTACTTACATATGAACTGCTTACTTTACCACTATTACAACTACATATATACTATATATATATATATATATATATATATATATATATATACATACATAAATATAAATAAGAAACAAACTAAGAAAATGATGTGCTACTCATTATATCTATAAGTAATATATGTTCTTATTATTATGTATATTGGTATGTACACATATCTATGTGTACATAATAAGTTTTCGAAATATTTTAATAATTTCTTATTTATATATAAAGTGTTTCCAGATTTGAAGCTCACTAAAATTTAGATAAAAAAAAGAGAATTCGCTGATTAGGTTAACTGCAGTCTGTATTACGGTCTATTTTAAGAGCTTATGAACAGAAAAAAAATTTGTTTTAATATTTAGTTTTGTATCATTAACTACTCGCGTATTCAAAAATTCTTCATAGCTGTAAATAAAGCTATTTTTTGGAAAAAAAACTGCGTAAAACCATTTTGCAGTAATAATTTACTTATTATGGCACTGTTCCAGTTCACCTGTCGCTTATTTTGAACAAGAATTATGCATCCGATTGTATTTTGTTTTTAATATATAAATATTTCATTACATAATTATACGAATGTAAAAGTTCATGCATCAATCCAGTTAACACCATAAAAAGGAATTTACTAATTTAAAAAATTCGTTTAACTATTAATTTAAGAGCTTATCGAATCCTTGAAACTTGCCGAGTATTTTTCTTCTAAACAGTTTCCTCATATCTGTGAACATCATTTCTGTTAACTTGATTTTCACCGAAACGGCATTTGATAACAGAAAAGACGAAATGACAGTTAATCTGATCACAGCATTTTGTAAACAACAGGCGTGCTACCTTTTTATTTAATTACAAACATTATCACACCTGAACTGTACGGAATTGAATAAGGAAGGGAACTTCAACGAAAAAGGAGGCATTGTAAGTAGCAGATAACGCAATGATTGTGGGTCGTGTTGTGACTAATTTACTGAGCTGATGTGACAAAAAAATTGTAAGGAGGTTCAAATTTTTGCTGTGGATAACGTTGAAGACGTTGAAATTATGTAAAAATCAATTAGTGTATCAAATAAATTCAAAGGAAAAATAGATATTCAAACTACTTTGTGTAAATAGTCTTCCAACACTTTTGCATGCTAAAAGTCAGAGCTGTCGCGTATACAAATCAGTACATATCTGTACTCATTACGAAATCGATTTGATAACATTTGAACCCTAATTGTTCAGAAATTAAGCTGAAATTGTTCAGTTAGAAATAAATACAGCAGATGCTGCTCGTCGAAATTTTAACAGATCAATACCAAGTATTCACGATGTCTCCAGTTTGTTGGTCAAGTTAGTTCTTCACATTTGCTTGCTACTTTACCAAGGATTTCCTTGGCTATTACTTCAAATACTTTCAGTGGTTAATCAACTGATGTTTCTTCAGAAAATCCCCAACTAAGTCCTTATGTTCAGTCGCCACATAATAAATCATTGTGACTTAGTGATCCAAAAAGTAGAGATTAGAATTTAACGGATAGATTCTTGAGGCAAGAGATAGGTTAAAAATGAACATTTTCACTTCTTATCAGGTCTTTTTGATATAGAATAAAAACTCACCCTTCGTTTTTCAAAACAACGTTTAACTTTTTTCAGCTCATCTGCAATGTGTAGATTTTTATCGTCCATTGTACCTATTAGCTGATTTTATTGTTGTGTTTGAAAAATTTATAAAGAAATGACGCATAATTTCCGTGAATATTATAATTTAATTTTTTGTTTGTCTATTGATTATTACTGAATATGTACGCTTTCATTTTGATGTTAAGTGTGCACATGTGTCACTCAGAAAGTACACATTTATTTATTTATTTATTTATTTATTCATTTATTTAGAAAACCAACAGCGTATATAGAAAATATTAACATTAATGTAACAAACTAAAAGTATGGCCAATAACAGGTTTCCCTTATATTGTTTGATGGTAGGTGTATTGTTGTTAGAAGAAAAGGAAAAAGAACAATCACATGATCACAAAATAATTGCTATGAATATATATTTTAGATAGCTAAAAATTGATCCTTTTTGTCAAGATTTGCATCATTTCTGTTATCAGTCATTTTTATAATTTTGATGATTTTTACTTCGTTATTGTCTAGCGACCTTTTATTTCCGTTTATGTTTTTAATAATCTCATAGGCATTAAATGATTAACAACTTAAATCGAAAAAAATACATGAAAGGCAGTTATATTTTTTTACAAATGTAGAATGACCCATATGTGGTACATCTTTTCACACAGATATATATATATATATATATATATATATATATATATATATATATATATATATATATATCAATTATTAGACAATATAATTTATGTTTATGTTAACAGATGGTTCGAGCCTTTGATTGATCGCTGGCTAGCAGTGACAAAGACCATGGCATTGCAGAGAGTGCGCGCAGCTGTTGAGCTCGGTAAAATGCACTATCGTATATTGTCGTAATACATAATTTTAATAATGAAATTTACAAAAATATTTGATTATTTTATTACTAGTTTCTGTATATTTTTCTAGTACTATATGATTTTTGGTTTAAAGTTATTGTGAGTAAGTTTTCGCTTGTCTTATTTTCGTAAAATCACTAGATGTTAAGTATAAAAATAAAAGGTATATCATAAATTTGGATTCCAGAACTCCTAAGATATGACATTTATTGTCTTATTACGAATAGTAGTTTGTAAAGTAAGTGTCAGTGTTCGGTTTAAATAAGTTTCTGATTCAATAAAGAAGTACCGTGAAAAATATGCGAACTAAAATACCACGGTCTAGTAGTCTATACCTCGGTCGACGACGACGATTTAAATGATTATTGCGATAAAGAGAGAGAGCGTAAGGCACTCCCGATAAGGAGTAATATACTTACAGGTTTTATTGATACATAAATGACATAAAAGTCTTTTTTTAAAGCATTCTGACAATATATTTATTTGAGCGGACAGTCTGTGTCATACAAGCGACTAGCCTACAGCGTCCTTCACATTCAATATTACAACGCTTTTAGGATGCTGTTGGACTGTTATGACGTTGCTGCTTCGAAGATGTTTAAAAATGTTCAGGTTGATGGACTTCACGCTCGCAAAACGGGCTCAATGTTAAAGCGTCGGTGTAACAGTAACAGCATTCTGAAAAAAAACAGCAAATCACATTTTCTGCCGACTTCTAAAAAGAAGACGGTACTCAATTCGTTTGTTTGTTTTTTATGTGTGTAACCTCATAAATTTTTCTGGGTGAACCAATTTCAAGGATTCTTTTTTTATTTGCAAGCTGGTACTTCTCGTGTGGTCCCATATGAATTTGGTTTAGGTCAGACCAACAGTTTTTGAGTTATTCTCAATAACTTATATTGAAGTCGGCTGTACAAAATTTTTAATTTTTATTTATGTGTAGACTGGCGCCGCGGTCTTAAATAAATAAACATGTTCTAGTTGCGCCTCATGTTCATAATTTCTCAATAAATAATATCAAATGTATAAATAAAAAAACATACTAGTTACTCGTGTACTTGTGCTGGTACGTTCATTGAAAGCAGCTAACGTTTTATCAAAACGAAAAACGGATATCGTGTTGGATATATAGTAACAAAATGTGAGCGCAGTTAATTCAACATAAATTAGTTCATCTAATTATAGTAAGGGCAACAAAAGGTTCGCACCAAGATATACCGACCATTTAGATAAATATCTACGTTAGTGCGGCACGAAACCATTAATTAGTCAGATACTGATGACAGAGAGTTCTAAAAAAGCTATGCTATTTACTATAAACGCTATTGTTGTTTATATTTGTATAGTTATTTAAGAACATTTATACTGAGCAGAAAAATTATAAATAATTGTTTATTATTTTAAATTATATTTTATTCATATACATATTTACGACGTAGGCATTTATTTGTATTTTTATATTAAAGTAAAGGATGAAAAATACCATACAGTCCATGTGATGGTAAACGGATGATACAGCCTATAAGCACCAACATGATACAGGTAGAGCCAGAAGTCTGGTGGATTATAAAAATCATGAAGAAAAACTAAAATTGGTACATAAACAATATATATCATCATTTAAGAATCAAAATTCAGACGCTTTGTCACCCCTGGGGATTAAATTGGAATGCCTCGTTAACAGTTTTTTTTTTAATATAGTATCAGGGTAGCAAACGAATACACAGTCGACCTGATTCAAGTAGATACTGGGGCCCATAAACATCCACATCTATCCTCGATTAATAAACAAAATTCAGACGCGTTGTCACCTCTGAGGACTGAAATGGAATGTCTCGTTTTCAGTAAAAAAGGTCTCCGGTTCCATATATCACCATAGAACATAGCAATAAACTGCTTACTTTACGCTGGTATTCTGTGTATGCGTGGTCCTTCCCTGGTCGAACCGACCTATTGTGCTACACCCATTAAACAGCTGCAGCGTGGCACTACTGGTAAAAAGATGTATTTTATATAAGACAATATTAAGCTTTTATTATTGTATGCTTTATAGATCGACCAGTGGAAGGAGAGCACTTTGTAAAACACAGCACGTCGTCGGTGGACACAGGCGCTTGGTAAGTGTTTTATGTTAAAAATTTAAAGTCAAAGGGAAAATATTTCTATTCAAAATTGGCCTGTACAAAACACTTTTTATTACTTACAACGAAATTACAATGGAAGAGAGATTGGCGCAAAGAAATAAATGATATTTTATTAGGTCTTTATTTAATTGTTAAAATGCTCGTAGACTCGAAGTTGTCAGTAGAAGCCTCAGATCGTCAAGTAAAAATTATGCATCAAATAAATTATAACGTGACTGTATAAAAGTACAACAATTACTGAACTTTTTTATTAACACAACAGTAGTTTTAAAATTGTTTATTTTGTATTTTATAAATCATCAATGACACAAAACTTTATACGGAAATTAAAGTGATATTTTACCGCACGACAGTAAAACATAACTTATTAATTACTTTAATTAGTATTTGCGACTATTTGTGTGTCGTAATTTAAGTTTAATAAATAGGCGGACGGAGTCAAATTTTAATATCAAAGGTCGGGGAAAAGTTTCTTTGTACTTTTTTGTATAAAATTGAAGAAAAATCTCATTGGTTGTACTGTTTTATGTGGCTGGTTTAATATTAATACATATAGGCAATTAAAATAAAGTACTACTGCTAGTAAAAAACACTTTCCCGCCATTTTTCAATTGTTTTTCTGTTTGCCAAAATGAGTAAATCTAAAGAAGAAGTTCGATACATTCTGAAGTTTTATCACAAAAATGGGAAAAATGCGACTCAAGCCGCGAAAAAATTTGTGATATTTATCGACCTAATGCATTGTCAGTAAGAGTAGCTTAAAGTTGGTTCAAGCATTATCAGTTTTTCATTTCAGTTTCAGTCCCTAAGTCGTATCGGTCCGAAAAAATCGCTGGTGGTAATCGATTCCACAAGGAAGTTGTGCGAGGGAGAAAACTTCTTCTGAATCGCACAGTGGTGGACCGCCAATCATCCAGATGATATGGATGGTATCGCGAGTTTTGTCGCGATGTGCGATAGTGAAATTAAGCGGCTGGAATTAGTCCGAACAATTCCTCAGAGCACTCCCCGTGGTAGATGCGATAAAATACGCAAAGAGATGCAACATCTCTACGCAGTGCCAGTGAAGAAGTGTGCCAGAAGCCGATCGGAAAGAACTCGGTCGTCGACGATTCGAACCGCTCAGCGCTGGATGCGGTCAAGTGGAAGGAGCTGGCACTGGAGAGCTCCTGCCCAGAGATGGGAACAGTATTCCATGTGAGGCCGAACCTGCGCCTTGTAAAGTTGCAAGCGGTGCGCCCGCATGAAATACTGTCCCGCTCTGCTGAGCACGCCAAGCTTTTTAGAGGCCAAATTAGCCTTCTCTTTCAATGACCACGAAACTGCACGTCACTCGATATGTCGACACCGTGGATACCGATACTGGCTGAGGCAAAAAGGGGAGTGCCTTGAAACTGAGTAGATACGACAAAGGGATTATTTTTAGCGGTAAACGCGCAAACTTGTGTCTCCTGAGGATTGAACTGGACTAGATTTAGTCGCCCCCAGTCTGAGACTTTGTTCAACAAAGTCTCGACTTCAGACACAAGTTTATTCCAGTACTCGGCGACGTTTTCCCGAGAAATATTTGCACGGCCGGTGTATAAAGCATCACCAGTGCTGTCGTCTGCATAGCAATGAATGTTACTTGTTTGCAACATATCATTGATATGCAGAAGAAACAGCGTTGGTGATAGCACGCAGCCTTGTGGAACACCAGCGTTGATACGCTTCAAATCAGAGCATGCACCGTCTACTACGACCTTGATGCTCCGATCTGCAAGAAAACTGGTGATCCAATTGCACAATTTCTCGGGAAGCCCATAGGAATGGAGCTTCGAAAGAAGCGCTTTATGCCAAACCCGATCGAAAGCCTTCGCTATGTCCAAACTAACGGCCAACAACAAAAGTTAGGTAGACCAGAAGATCACCAGCTGAGCGACCTCGACGGAAACCGTACTGGCAGCTCGTGATCCTCAAATTACCGCAAGAGCTGGCTGTTAATAATCGTTTCCATTACTTTGGAGAACAAGGAGGTGATAGAGATAGGCCTGTAGTTGGACGGATCTGAGCGGTCGCCTTTTTTAGGGATCGGGTGCACCAAAGCTGTCTTCCATGAGTTCGGGACTACGCCTAGTGAGTAGGAGTACCGAAAAAGACGCGTTAAAACCGGTACCAACTCCGCAGCACACGTCTTCAGCACAATAGGCAGGACTCCATCAGGCCCACTCGACTTGTTGACGTCCAGGGAGAGGAGTGCTTTACGCACCAAGCGCTGTGTAAACAGCACTTCCCGCATGGAGCACTCCCACCGCGGGATGGTCGACTGTGTTTTCCCCTCGTCATCTAGAGTCGAGTTGGAAGCAAAAAGAGAGCCTAGCAGATCGGATTTCTCCTTTGCGTCTTGAGCCAGTGAGTCGTCCACCCAGTGCAGAGATGGTAGAGATGGCTGACAGAAGTTCCCTTGGACAGCCTTGGTGAGAGACCAGAATGCACGTGTTCCCGAAGGGAGGCGAACTAGTTTCTCTCCAATACTGCCGATGTGCTCTGACTTTGCCTTGGCAATGACACTTTTGAAGGACCTGAAGGCTTATACTTCTTTTTAAGAGCGCTGGTGTTTACATCCCGGGACGTTGATGCGTCAGCCCAGGCCTGGTAGCACTCCTGCTTATAGCGTGATGCTATTTTATAGGAGCGACCAAACCATGGCTGGGATCTGCCTCCAATGGGCACCACAGAGGATGGAATAAAAAGTTCCATAGCACATAGAGCGTGAGTGGCACTGTACTCCGGATCAGACAATGGCCCGAAGAGCCGAGTGGGGCATCGACGGAAACCTGATATCCGTCCGGATCAGAGGTCAGCAGAAGGTCCAACAGGGAAGGTACATGATCCTCCACATCTGGGATCCGCGTAGACGAAGTAACCAGTTGTGTTAGACCATATGCCAAGGCAAAGTCATAGACAGATCTTCCCGCATGATCGGTTAAACGAGAACCAATCCATTCAGCGTAGTGGCCGTTAAAATCACCGAGTATCACGATCTCAGCGAATGCGACCTGTTGTAGCACGGAGTCTGCAGCCATTTAGACGTGGTCGATGAGTCGGTCTGTGTCGGCATTACCACTATGGGACCTATAGAGGCACCCGTAGACGCGGGGATGGCCGTCGCTGTCTACGCGCAGCCATAGGATGGACAGGTCCGTACCTTCAAGACTGCCGAGGCGTCAAAAACAGATGTCCTCTCTGACGTTTACGCAAACTCCAGCCCGGGGCACAAAAGAGTGTTCAAATTTGTAGGAGAGATACGATTTAACGGTGGTAGAGCCCTGCAGCAGTTTTTTGCTGTTGCACGTATGGGCCGGCTCGAGCCGGGTTGGTACCACGACCTCACAGAATACCGGCGTGAAGTAGAGGCTCTGCTTCTGCGTTTCGTCTGGTGAGTGCAGGTGGCCGGAGGCCCAATTCCCCCCCCCCCCCATCAACATGGTAGCGGAATTAGACAATAGACTACCCCAGGAGGGTACCAGTACCCCTGGAGAATCCCTCGCTGAGCATCCACGACCATGTTATTCCAATCCTGAGCGTGGGTGCTCAGGCTGCCCCGCGTATTCTGGGGGGGGCAAAATTCCGCTCAAAAACAAAACTGCTCGGGGCAAGCTGAGCAACAATACCAAGGCGACCCCTGCCACGCTATCCGTGAATTTCTGCAACATCAGGGGACTTCACTCTAACCTAAACGCCGTCCACTACCATCTCGAGACGGCGAAGCCGGCCTTGCTCTTTTTGACCGAGACGCAGGTTTCCTCTCCGACTGATATTTCGTATCTCTCCTACCCGGGGTACAAATTGGAGCACTCCTTTGTGCCTCGGGCTGGAGTTTGCGTGTATGTTAGAGAGGACATCTGTTCTCGACGCCTCGGCAGTCTTGAAGGTTCGGACCTGTCCATCCTTTGGCTACGCGTAGACAGCGACGACCATCCGCGCGTCTACGGGTGCCTCTATAGGTCCCATAGCGGTAATGCCGAAACAGACCGACTCATCGACCACGTCCAAATGGCTACAGATTCCTTGCTACAACAGGTCCCATCCGCAGAGATCGTGATCCTTGGCGATTTTAACGCCCACCATGCCGAATGGCTCGGTTCACGTTTAACCGATCATGCGGGGAGATCTGTTTATGACTTTGCCTTGGCATATGGTCTGACACAACTGGTTACTTCGCCTACGCGGATTCCAGATGTGGAGGATCATACACCTTCCCTGTTGGACCTTCTGCTGACCTCTCATCCGGACGGATATCAGGTTTCCGTCGATGCCCCTCTCGGCTCTTCGGACCATTGTCTGATCTGGAGTATGGTGCCACTCACGCTCCCTTCGCGTTTGCGTTCTGCAGGTTGCCGCCGTGTTTGGCATTACAGGTCGGCGGATTGGGACGGAATGCGGTCTTTCTTTGCATCCTACCCATGGGGGCGGGTTTGCTTCTCGCCGGATGATCCCAGTGCTGTTGCTGACTCTGTCACTGATGTGGTGCTACAGGGAATGGAACTATTTATTCCATCATCTGTGGTACCCATCGGAGGCAGATCTCAGCCTTGGTTTGGTCGCTCCTGTAAGACTGCATTGCGCAGTAAGCAGGAGTGTTATCAAGCCTGGGCTGCGGCTTCGGTGACTCGGGATGTAAACACCAGCACACTTAAAAAGAAGTATAACTTCGCCTCCAGGTCCTTCAAAAGAGTTATTGCCAAGGCAAAGTCAGAGCACATAGGCAGAATTGGCGAGAAACTAGTTCGCCTTCCTTCGGGAACCCGTGCATTCTGGTCTCTCGCCAAGGCTGTCCAAGGGAATTTCTGTAAGCCATCACTACCATCTCTGCACAGGGAGGACGACTCACTGGCCCAAGACGCAAAAGACAAAGCCGACCTTTTAGGCTCCCTTTTTGCGTCCAACTCGACTCTTGATGACGGGGGGAAAATACCGCCGACCATCCCGCG